CTATTAAGAGTGATAAACTGGAAGCCTTTATATTGAAGTGGATGCCACTTGAACATATACTCATAAGTGAAATAAATGAGACACACATGTGTAAATACCATATAGTTTCCCTAATATAAGAACTCAAAAGAAGAAATACAAATAGAAAGGTATAATACAAATAAAAGAAAGCAGGACCTCGAGGACTAACTAATCAAAAGTAGGAAAGGAGAAGAGCTAGGAAACACGACAACGTCAAGCCATACAGTTTTATGTAGGAGATGGGCAAGGCAATGATCCTGAGAATCCTCAGAAGATTTTTTAATCTAGCAGTTAATTGCAAAGATTCTCACCCTGACTAACTATATATACTGATACCTGTGAACTGCACTGAAGATGGCAATCTGTAATAGTAGTTTCATGCTTGGTGTGTCTGTCATTCTGGTCTTCTGAATACGGGCTGCTTGTCATGACATACCAGTTGCTGCTGAGCTGTCTCTCAGGTAGATGATTGTTCAAAAAGAAGGGGGTGGTGAATGAAGGCAAGAGATAGGAAAAAGAATATTGTGGGACTGTCCTGCTTCAAAGTTATATATGGTTAGATTTCTGGTCTTATATGTAAACTTAAGAATTATATAATTCTTTATGACTATTTTTGAAATATATTCTAATTTTTAAATGTTTTTTCATCATGTTTTGTAGGGACTTAAACCTCAACATATTAATACTTGATGAAAAATACCTGTTCCATGTTATGCCTAAGATATTTGATATTCAGATATATAGTGAGGTTAAGCATAAGAGCCCAGGTTGTATGGTAATAACAATAAGCTTCTCTTCTGGAGGGTTAATAATCTAAGTTTGAAGACCTGAATTAGAGAAAAAGGAAGGCCTCAAGGAAAGCCAACATTTTGTCCCTAGCCTTTCAAGTTCAATTACGACTCATGACACATGAGAACTTGTACTGTAACATCATGTAACTAGGTAGTTTCCCAAATTTTCTGATCAAAGAGATTATGGGGTCAAAGAGGAAAGTGATCAATGATGTAGAGTGTACCTAAGGAGAGTCACATGGAGAGAAAACATTCCCTCAGGCTTTCACAGAGAGCACATTGACCAAGCAATGGCCGTGACTCATCCACATGGCTGACACTGACAAAAGACCTACAATCTGAGGTACAGGATCTCAGGAAAATTCCTGAGGGGATTTCACTGACCTTATCAGACCCAAAAGCTACAACTCTTGTTGCATAGGTCTTGCCTTATCTTGGTCTTAACCATCCAGCAGAAAAGTATAAAACAAAGTAAAAGAAGTAAAGCCATGCTGTTATGTTGAGCTGTAGGGGACTCAGGTCAACAATTTCTGACATTGCCAGTGAAGCAGAAGACCCAATACTATTATGGTCT